AAGCTCCCAGCACAGCCACTTCCACTGCCAGCAGGTGGGAAGAAGCTCAGCCTGTCTGGGAAGAGCCACGTGAAGAAAATGGTCTATACTCGGTGGGCAGTAGTGGCAATTCTGTGATGGTGGGTGGGGCAATGACAGACTTGCATTTTCATTTTAATCTCGGTTACAACAGCTAGGTCAGAAGTGTTGGCAATTGAGTAGGCGGGATGCTTTCCTCTGTTACTGTTGGACAAAAACCACAGCACAGTGTTAGGAAGGCCTGGATGCTGGAGGTGATGTCCTTCTGAGGAGATGGGGGAAAAAAACAGAAGATTTATCAACTCTGGTATCTTGGCTACACACCAACACCAGTAATCTTAAATACCGCATGCAGATGGGGTCGCCCCATCTCCAAAAAAGATATATCGGAATTGGAAAAAGTTCAGAAATGTGCAACAAAAATTATTAGGGGTATGGAACAGCATCCGTATGACGGGCGATTAATAAGACTGGGGACTTTTCAGCTTGGAAAAGAAACGACTAAGGGGGAATATGATAGAGGTCTATAAAATCATGACTGGTGTGGAGAAAATAAATAAGGAAGTGTTATTTACTCCTTCTCATAACACAAGAACTAGGGCTCACCAAATGAAATTAATAGGCAGCAGGTTTAAAACAAACAAAAGGAAGTATTTTTTTCCACACAACGCACAGTCGACCTGTGGAACTCCTTGCCGGAGAATGTTGTGAAGGCTGAGACTATAACAGGGTTCAAAAAAGAACTAGGTAAGTTCATGGAGGATAGGTCCATCGATGGCTATTAGCCAGAATGGGCAGGGATGGTGTCACTAGCCTCTGTTTGCCAGAAGCTGGGAATGAGCAACAGGGAATAGATCACTTCATGATTACCTGTTCTGTTCATTCCCTCTGGGGCACGTGGCATTAGCCACTGTCAGAAGACAGGATACTGGGCTCGATGGACCTTTGGTCTGACCCAGTATGGCCGTTCTTATCCTCATCTGTCCCCTGGAATATCAGCCAATTAACATGTTCTTCTTCATTTCTTGCCCTAACTTTTTCTGCAGCACTCGTGTACACTGTTAACTGCACCACTTCTGGAGTGGAATGCAGATGCTCTTTAAGTAGTGGAATGCAATTGGAGGGACTGAGCAGGTTAATTAGTTAATATTTCTAAAGTGCTTGGAGTTCCACCATGGAAGAGTTCTAGGGAAGTGCCCAACACTGTACTATAATTTCATTCTTCCTGAAGGGTATTGCAGCATTTAAAATGACCACAAGAGGGCACCACTAACACAGTTTTTCATGTCTAGATATAACATAGTCTATCACAGTCCATGACATATTTATCCATTTAAAGAGCTTGTGGATGATAAGTCTGTAAATAAAGATCATAGGGTTTTTTCCCCATATAAGTGGCAATTTTTGTACAGAGTTGTACTGTGCATCTTGGATCATGTTTCCTCAATATGAACAAAAAATAACAAATTAAAGTGGTGATCAGTCAAAGAATACGGTTACCAAAATAGACCTAGGTTGACAAATAACTTTTTAAATGTGTGTGAGCTTCTTAAATAATATTCTCTAGGATTTAGGACAAGAATACTATAAAACGTGTTAAACTAAAATTGATTGAAATTAGGCCACACCAACTCTTTCAAGCCTTACTGATTTAATATTAACAGCTTTATATATCTTGGGTATTCTGCATATGACATACACAGGGATGGTCATATGAGAGAGAATAGTAACAGACAAGAAATCTTAGACTGAAGCTCATCTTGTGTGACTGGAAAGGAATTTCCCCCTAGATCTGCAATAGGTTCTCAAATATGAGCAGACCCCTTATTAGTGCAGTGGTTCTCAAACTGGGGCTGCCGCTTGTTCAGGGAAAGCCCCTGGCAGGCCGGACCGGTTTGTTTACCTGCCACGTCTGCAGGTTCGGCCGATCGCGCCTCCCACTGGCCGCGGTTCACCGCTCCAGGCCAATGGGGGCTGCGGGAAGCAGCGCAGGACAAGGGATTTGCTGGGCGCTGCTTCCCGCAGCCCCCATTGACCTGGAGCGGCAAACCACGGCCAGTGGGAGCCGCAATCGGCCGAACCTGCGGACCCGGTAGGTAAACAAACCGGCCCGGCCCGCCAGGGGCTTTCCCTGAACAAGTGGCGGCTCCAGTTTGAGAACCACTGCCTCAGTGGTACATTGATACTGGGTATTCTTAACATATGAATGCCTCTGACATACTCTCCACCGTGACTGCTATACAGCACAACATTGCTGCAGTTTGCTAGATGATGCTGATCTGCACTTTTTTAGTAAGTTAAGAGCATTTTCAGGCCAACAAACAATGTAAAATCCCAATGAAAGGCACCAACCCTGCTAACTAGAGTCCCAGAAGACAGAGAACCAAAATACTAATTTGCTTATAGCAAATATGCCACCACATGAGTAAAGCAACTAGGGTTTTAAACCCATCTGATGGCTGTGTTTAACAGCACTGCTTGGTTAGCTGGGTAGGTCTCTTGTTCGCAAACTTTTCAGGAGCATCAATTGGCACTCGGGGGGAGGAGAAAATAATAAATAAATCTGAAAGCTTCACATTTTCAGGAGGTCTCTTAGAAGGGAAACCTCCAGTGATCGATGTGCAGATACGAACCCCTATCTACGCACATGCAAATAAGCTTTTCCACATGCACAGGGAGGTAACTTGAAATCTTTGCCAGAACAATCAGAAAAGCCTGAGGAGAAATAAATACACTGAAATCTTTTTGAAGCTCCCCCCATCCATCCCAATATAACCAAACTGGCTGAAGTTTATTACATTGGTTTTTTAGACATTTAATGATTTCACATTCAGACTGATCCATTTCCTAAGTGGACATTTTCAGGTGCCCAGTAACTTACATTGTATTCTTTGCCAATAAAAGCGGAATGACCCTGAATATTTACTCTGTCTAATTTAATAGGTTGCCTTCTTTTACCTAGACAGAAGCATGTACGTACAGCCTGGGGCAGCGCAACCCATCTTCTAGGTTAAAAAAAGGCCAGTGTGAGCACATCATGAAATACACCATGCCATACACTGGCTCCTTATCAATTACTAGAGCTCCTTCAGGATCTTAGAGTAGGTCATATCTATTTCAGGGACTGCCTCTTTGCAACTCCGATGACACAGCGTCCTATCAAGACTTTTTGGGCTGACAGATCCCCAGTCAGACTCTCTGTGGCAGGACACTCTTGGCGTCTGTTAAATTCCCCTATTGCTGGAGGGTAGGATAAGGCCAGGACTTTCCACCTTTAAGAATACATTGCAAAACCTCTCTCTTACCCCAACACTGATGGTTGCAGATTAGTCCAGCTAAGTTTCTCACGAAGAAAAATCCATGAGTCAAAAGCATCATAATGGCAAAAGTCTGGGCATAACTGTGCTTTTAAAGTCGAGGGTTTGTGTATAGATATTATAGCAATGGGAGAACAGATGGCCAGATTGGCAGACACCCAAGTTTTGTACTTCTCTGTATGCAAATAGAGGAGGAATTTTAGTGGATTGCACATCTCCCCAGGCACGCCCCCTCTAAACAAGTTGAGGATTTGGTATACAACATGACAGCAAACCAACAAAAATCCATCCTGCCCTGGATTGTCTTTGTGTTGTCACGTTACACTGAGCTGAGTTGTGCGATGCCTCGCTAAGACACAGCAAACACAATGTGAGATAGAGTGCCTTCTTTCTTCTCGGGAAACATTCCTCTGCCCAAGTTGCTCGTTTGTAGCAAGTAGAATCCTTTCCACAGAACCATCCAGCAGCAAGACTTGTTCTAACACATATGGTTTCTAGTGAACCTGGTGACATGCTGCACTGTCAACAAAGAGCAGTTCTGTTTAAAAAGTAAAGGATTTAGACTACATAACATCTATTTATTAGTGTTTTCAGAATGTTAGGAGCTGGCCAGAGAAAGATAATAGTCCCTGGCAAGGAGCTTACCCTCTGGCTAGGACAGTAAAATATAGTGTAGAAAAAATAATGTATCTAGTAATCAGAAAGGAGCCCAATAACAACCCAGGGTCCATTATAAGAAAGTGAATAAATCTGTAAAACAGGTCCATGCTTATCCTGTTACTCATGTATACTCTGTGTCTTATTGCTCAGTTTCAAGAGAGAAAGTGCTTATATGTTTGCAATGTAAAAGTATTCAGAGTTTTCTCCATGGACAGAGTGTTATAATTAACACTAATAATTATATTTCTGGACAGGCAAAGAGACCCACGTCTAAGTGCTTAAAGGAAATGTTCCTGCATACAGGCAATGACTATGTGCTACTCTCTCAAGCCAGCAGAGACCCAAAAGCCAAACACGTTCCATAATATTTGAATAATGTCCCACTGATTAACTCATTTCCTCAATGTCTTTCTGACCTTCCTTTCACTAAGCCATAAAACATACACCCCAGGCCTTATTAGGAGAAACTACATAATCCCTATCCTCAGAAGGGAACCCTCTCTACAGTGCAGCCCTCAAGTTCTGAGATCTTTACTAACTTCCTCCCTATAAAACACACATTTCAGACACTGTCCTTGAAGTCACAAAGCTGTTTGTCTTCCCCATCACTACCACCCACTGGATTTCAAAACATCCTTTGGTTTCCTTTAAGTAAACTAGAATTGAACTGGGTCTTTTCCCAGAAGTAGGAGGAAAGCATGTGCTTTACAAAGTCACATTGCAAAGTGTGTAATTCTCAAACCTGGGAAAAGCAGCAATATATATCTACCCATCCCCTCCCTTGTGTACCTAGGGTGATTATATGACAGGAAATGTAACATTCTGACTGGCAGGCTGGCAGACAGAAGTAGTTCCTGATTCTCCTATGATTGACACCAGAGTAAGTGAGAAACCAATTAAGTTAGACTGGTGTGAAAAGAAAGTGAAGGGAGAATCAGGCCCATAGCTTATTCTTTTTTTTTAAAAAAAAGGAGTTATTTGCTGTACATCAAAAGGAAGACTCACCGCAGCGATCCCTAATGACCAGGTTCCGGCCTTCTTTCAGGTGTATTGTCAGTAGGTAAGCAAAGGAGCTGGGCAAGCTGCTCAAACAGTCATTTCCTTCCTCAAGAGCCTGTGGCAAGGCAAAGAAGTCAGTCATCAGTTTCACCATCTATACAGCTCAGCTCACACACAAAAACATGCTTTCTGTTTCTGGATTGACTTGAAATTCACAGGCCTCATTTCCTCTCCATATGCAAGGGGGAATCCGTGTTACGCAGGTCTTGGCGCGCGCGCGCACACACACACACACACGCACACACACAAGCCGACTTTCAAAGGCTTTGTTTTAAAGACTGCGTCAAAATTACCTATTTTCTTCATTTCAATCGTAAATAGAGTTTGGTCGGGAATTTCCAACCAAACAGAGCTTTATTGGAAAACGCTGACATTATCTTCCGACACATCTTGAGTTTGATGAACTTTTATGAAATCACAGGCAGAGTTCCAAAAGAAATCTGTCTGGTTTCCCGGCAGCCTGCTGAGGACCTTGGGGCTTCTAGTGGCCACAGCTCCAATACAGCTCAGCAGAGCAATTATTTCTTGTCAATTTCAGATAGTCGCTGCCTTGGTCTGGGAGCATAATTCATTTTGAAACAACACGTTTCTGAGCTTCCGAACTCAAATTCTTTTGGAATTTCTGGTCTGCAGGAAATTTCGAAATACTGAAAATGCCTATGAACTAGAAATCCTGAATTTCAGCCAACTTTAGTAGTAGCCATAACAAACACATAATACAAATAATGGTAATCAGAACAACATCACACATTCACAAGAGATAGAAAAGGGGTAATATAAGGGATGGGCCATAAGTGAGAATGACAAATAATACTGTAGATATGCATTGTACGCTGGTTATTTCTATTAAGATTTCCAAACCAGAGTAACATAAAATTATGTTCTTTTCCTGCTACTTTCTTGTACTTTTTACATTCATCTCCACTCAGATATGTTCATTTCCAATGTATAACATTTCTCTGGACAACTTTCATAAAGGTATCTAATATTTTACAGTCCTTCCCTATGTGTTTGTGCAGCATTTATCACAATTTATCACAATCTTGGTTGGGAACTCTAGCTGTTGCCATAATATAAACCATGATCATCATCCCGGCTGCATCTTCAGTTAAAACATCCGATTTATATCACTATTATGGAGGAAGATAATGGAGTTCAGGATGTTAATGATAAAAGTCCCAAAGTTGGATCCAAATTTTGCAAATACACGTTAACAATGTACATTAACAATGCCTTTTTAACATGGCCAGCATGTGTCATAACCCAGTCTGATTTAGACCAGTGGTTCTCAAAGCCGGTCTGCCGCTTGTTCAGGGAAAGCCGCTGGCGGGCCAGACCAGTTTGTTTACCTACCCCATCCGCAAGTTCGGCCGATCGCAGCTACCAGTGGCTGCGGTTCGCCGCTCCAGGCCAATGGGGGCTGCGGGAAGCAGCGCAGGCTGAGGGACGTACTGGCCGCCCTTCCCACAGCCCCCGTTGTCCTGGAGCGGTGAACCGTGGCCAGTGGGAGCCACGATCAGCCAAACCTGCGGACGCGGCAGGTAAACAAACCGGCCCACCAGAGGCTTTCCCTGAACAAGCAGCGGACCGGCTTGAGAACACTGATTTAGACTACCTGGAGGATGATGAAAGGTGAATTGAATAATAAAAGCTCGAGCCCATATAAACATTGGAATGGCTCTACGCCCACACTCAAATAATATCCCTCAGTCCCAAAATCCACTCCAATTTTTCCTATATCTTCCAAGTAGTTGAATACATACCCTGGTGCTTTTTGCAGCACATTTCTCCAAATGAAGCAATTTGTTAGGATCAGATTTTTTTCTAAGCAATACAGTTGGAAGGCGCTTTTTTATCCAACCCTTTCTTTTGAAAGGAATTTGAAAAATGTAGCAGCTTGTATGTGAAATCTCATTTGAAAATGATGTTGTTTTCTAGAGTACCTTAGTTCTTTTGATATGGGATTGTCTCACACCACTTCCCCTCACCCACACACCAAAAAAACAAACACCACAAAATATTTTAAGGAAGTTGAAGATTCAGGTGTACAGTATTCTCTGTATCTGTAAGGAGCTGAACCCAAATCTAAATTTAACCTCCATTTTCCCAGATAGTCTGCTTGGGATTAAAAACATTTCAAACACATAAACTTACAATTTGTTCATCAAAAAGTTGAGAGGACATTGAAGATTCCAGATCTATCCCTTCACATGGATGCTGTTAAAAATAAAATTTAAAAAGATCATCAAATAAGCAAAAGAAATATTGGGATTCCCCTCACCTACCACAACAAATATTCTCAGGTCTTAATACTCCATGCAATATGTATCAAACATATAGATGCCTTTAAAACTAAACAGCTCTCTGCCTTTTCAGGAGTGGGAGGGGGCAGGCAGTAAACCAAAAATCTAAACAACTATGCATGCTTAAATGTAGCATTAAAAACAGGTTGACAAATCAGTGCTTCTGCGAAAAGTGTCTGTAAAATAAATCTTCATTGGCATGGAGGTAGGGTTTGGAAAGGTGAGCCAATTTCAAGTGCGAGGTTCATAGTATAGATATCCTTTGCACAAAGCATTCATTTAGGCCCTGAACATGGGAAGGGCTGAATTACTCCTAACTTCCTATCGATGCCAGTAGGAGATGAAGGCACTCAGACACTTGAAAGACCCTCACTGTGTACTGCTCTCCCATTTTACCGCAAACTCTGCTTATAAGGCCTCATCTACACATAAAAGTTGTACCACTTTAGCTACACTGGCATAGTTAAAGTGGTACAACCCTTCTAATATGAACCCAGTTATACAAGTATAAATGTATTTATACCAGCATAGTTTATTCCCAAGTAGGAAGAGGTATAAGCTACGCTAATACAAGACACCTTTACACTGATATAACTGCAGCCACACTAGTGGCTGTATCAGAATAACTATAATTGACAGCCTTGCATTGGCACTAGCTATGTGTGGATCAGGCCTAACACAACCATAACGCAAACATGTTACATGGTATACTGCTCTCTTTACTTTCTGGTGGCAGGTCCACACAGAAAAGAAGAGCCTTCTAGTTCTTCCAACTATTGGAATTAGCCCTTTTGCTCAAATGCTAGAGGCCCATGCTTTCAGGGATGAATATTCTTGGTTAAAACTTTGCTGATGACCTTGGGTGTGGGCGAGGGATGGATAGAGACTGAGGAATTGTTACACTTCCACAAATGTAGTGAATTACCACTCTGCATTCCAACACTGTGCTAGCGATGCTATACTTATTGATGATAAGACTTTTTTTTGTCACAGTCCCAATTCCAGATGCTTAAAAAAAAGCGCAAGAGCAACAGCATACTAGAGATAAGGGGTAGGGAAATGACACTTCAGGTTGAAATTTCTAATTCACCTTCTCAATCCAAAGGCATAGTTATTTTTATGGGGAAATCTTTGTAATATCTCATTGTGTATTTTAGTTTGGAGATCTCTAAACCTGGGGAGAGGAAAAGAAGAAATCAAATTAAAATCTTAGAAATTCAAATAACTCTGCCATTTATATTTTAAAACTTCAAACTTGGCATGTGATGTACATCAGTGGTTCTCAAACTAGGGCCACCGCTCATTCAGGGAAAGCCCCTGGCGGGCCGGGCCGGTTTGTTTACCTGCCGCATCCACACGGCAGGTAAACAAACCGGACCGGCCCGCCAGTGGCTTTCCCTGAACAAGCAGCGGCCCTAGTTTGAGAACCACTGATGTACATAACTCTTCACAAGGGAAACATGTTTTACCAAGTTAAAAAAGATTGACTGAGACAAAGTTTGTCAAGGAGATGGGGGAAAAAAAAGAAAACACGTTCTGTGCCATTTTCTATAATAATTGAATAAAATGCTGCCTGGCCCTTCTGTGCATATGGGAAAAGAGGTGGCACGGGGGGGAGGTCAGGGTGCAACTTCTGCAGCCAAAGCTTGACTCCTCCAATCCCTATAGTTTGCAACAACAGGTGTTTAATGGGCAAGTCGACACTGCACAAATCTTACGACCGTGTGTAGAGCACTTACCTGTGCTTGGGGGTGTGCAATGTATAAATAGCACCCTAGAGTATGTACCTTACACAGCTCTCTATGCACCCAAGCAGTACCTCCCCCCGTCTACACTGCTGTTTTTAGCAGTGTAGCATCTCGTTGCCTGTCTGCTGGAAGAACCTTTTCCGGGCTCCGGCAGTGGGGAAAGTCTCTGGCGGGGGGTAGGCAAAGGGGAAAGGCTCCAGCAGCTCCCCTGCAGTGGGGAAAGGCTCCAGGGGTGGGCTCAGCCTTTCTCCACCACAAGAAAAGACTCCCACAGCTGGGAAAGACTCTAGCAGAGGGAAGGCAATGGGAAAAGGTGCTGGCAGCTCCCTGCTTATGGAGTCTTTCCCTGCTGCCTCCTCCCTGCCAGAGACTTTCCCAGCGGCCACATGCAGCTACACGTTGCAATGTGGACACAGCCTGCTTTCACTGAGGCAGGTAGCTACATGTACCTTACATGCCGTTGCCAGTGGTGTGCAGTGTAGACATACCTTATGAGTACTCCATGCACGGGCGCTGGAACGGGGGGAGGGGGAGGGGGCAGGGGTCCATGGCCCCTTCACTTTTTACCAGCCATAAGGGCGAGTGCTGGGGGGAGTGGGGCCTTGGGGAAAAAGGCAATGCAGGGGCAGGGGCTTGGGAAGAAGGGCCTCAGGGGAACGGCCGGTGTAGGGGCAGGGCCTTGGGGGGGGAAGGGGCAGCGTGTGGGAGGGACCATAGTTCAGGCACCGGTGGGGCCCCCCGCACACACTTTTAGGGTGCTTCCGCTGTTTCTGACTCCATGCATTGAGTCAAGGATGGGCTATCTGTAGGGGTAAAAGTGGACATTTGGGTCAGGACACCCCTGATAACACTATGGCCACTGGTACAGGTCCCTGCTCAGATTTCTTCTGCTCTTAGGAGGCATAACATGAGAGGGCAGCTGTACTGGTTTCACACAGGATGATCACATTGGTCAGAATTTCAGCATAGAATAATGCCAAGAAGGATGATATCCCTCTCCCAAACACACACTGACACACACGGCCCAGAATTCAATCTCTCATACACACACACACACAGAGCCCAGAAATCAGTCCTCAAGTGCTGTCATCATTATTTATTATTTGCATGTTGATGGAGCATAGAGGCACAATCAGGGCCCTGTTGTGTTAAGCACTGTACACAAACATAACAAAAAGGCTAGCTCCTGCCACAGGCACCTTTCAGACATACAGACATTGATACACTGAATAAATGCAAATGTATTTATACCTCAAAACTTAATCACTCCGTTTTTCTTTTTTAATTTTCAAAAAATAAATTGCATTTAAAACTACATTAATGCCACATTACAACTGACATGTTATCTGTAGAATAGGCAGGAAATGTAAAATTATGGTTCCCACAGTAACCATAACTTGGCCACACTGCAAACACATATTAAACTCAGCAAAATTATCATCAGATAATGCAACAGAAGAGGCTCCCTGCACGAAAGGGCTGAGTTACAGTTGCTTGGGGACCTTTAACTTTGAATTTCCTGACTAGCGTGCATAAAATCTCAATTGTGTTGCCTTAAACTAGTGGTTCTCAAACTGGGGCCCATGGCAGGCTGGGCCGGTTTGTTTACCTGTCGCGTCAGCAGGTTCGGCTGATCGCGGCTCCCACCGGCCGTGGTTCGCTGCTCCAGGCCAATGGGGGCTGTGGGAAGTGGCGGCGGACAAGGGATTTGCTGGCTGCTGCTTCCCGCAGCCCCCATTGGCCTGGAGCAGCGAACTGCGGCCAGTGGGAGCTGCGATCGGCCAAACCTGTGGACCCGGCAGGTAAACAAACCAGGCCGGCCCGCCAGGGGCTTTCCCTACATAAGTGGCGTCCCAAGTTTGAGAACCACTGCCTTAAACAGAGTA